TGATGTGGGAACCTGGCTAATTATTTGCGAGACTTGGCGCTTCTTTGTTTTGGTTGCTAGGTGGGGGAAAGTAAACAATCCACTCCGTCCATTCCCACCGTCTGCCTGAATGACTAATCACATGCTGCCAACAAATCGTCTGGGCCGCCTGTGGCCGCATATTCTGGATTATTGACAGACAACATATAAACAATTACGCGCGAAGACTTTTGCCATGGTTACGATGCGGGTTTGTGGGCAGATTTTGATGGCTGTGCATTCTCACCATCTCGGGTTTAGCTTGAAATATATCCGCTCTACCAGAACAGCAAGATGCTGTATAAGGGCTGGTCCAGTTCTATCTACATGTAAACATTTCCCGCCAGGAGACTAAATGCCGGGTATCTTTAAATGACGTGAGCACATATCTTTTTGAACGAGCCTCCATCGAAGTAAGCAGTGAACAAGGCCGTTGATAACGGCCAGGTTGTGAGGGCATGGATAGCCGGGTTCCGGGAGACGTTGCTCTGCATGTGGGAAGCTGCAAACCTTCTCCGAAGCATTTTCTTGGACAAGGACAACAATCCTTGTGGCTCGTTCAAAATACCGACGCTGTATGTAGCACGGCATACGTAGTTCGCTTGTTACTTCACCAGGGTGACCGAACCACTGATTAGTCCCTTCCCACGAATATGGCAAAGGACTAGAGTTTGCGTACCTATGCGTTGCCATTAGTAGGTGTCCAAGGAAGGTAGTTTTGAGACTTGATGGTTGATTAAAGAATAGCTTCAGAAAAGTTTGAGAAGATTTTGGTAACGCGGTTGTTTTGCAGCTCTCGTCAGAGTTATCATTGCTAAAGACAATGTCCCCGACGTCTGATGGCCCCGCGGCGTCATCATGCATAATGTAATGGAAAATGTGAGCAAATGAAGAAACAGAGACGAACGTACCAAACTGGGATTGCAAGTGTGCGGGACGAGCCCGAGAGTATCACGTCTCAGGCTTGAACTTGCCACGCTTTTCACGCATTGCATCAACCTTCTTGCGGTCCTCATCAAACCGTCTGAGCAATGCCTTATGCTCGTCCTTCCTTCTTTGTCGCAGTTGGAAGCGGTAGAAGTCCTTCATATCCGACTTCTTCTTATCCTGCTTCTCCAACATCCTCTGCTTGGCCTCCTCAGCCTCATTACGGCTGGCTGGAGCCGATCTACCGCCGCGAGTAACAGTCACGAAGCCATCCTCGTCAGGTTCATTCCGCAATCTCTTGGCAAGCTCAGCAGCCTCCTTTTCTTTTCGGTTGTATGTATTGAAGAAGGCATGGACCGCCCTCTTGGTCTCTGCCTTGTCGACACGGTTCAGCTGGAGATGCGAGGAGAGCCATCGCGCACCAAGAGAAGGCACCTCATCTGCAAGGTTTTCGCCCCACACTGGGTAGTTTCTTGTTTTCTGAAGCTTCCCAATGGCTTTGAGAACCTGCTGAACGCTCTTCTCGTCGGCGAGGAGAACGACCGCGGTGCTACTGCTCTTTTGCAATTGCCGCGTCCAGATTTCAGGTAGGCGGGTGGCTTCTTCCTCGCGCTCGCGCTCCTCCTCTTCAAGATCCCCTCTCTTCCGCTTCTTCGCGAACCCATTGATCTTCATGGCGCGAGCCGGGTCAACGCCGGGGCTGTGCGTCTTGTTGTCCTCGAAAGTCATGGTCTCGAAGCGGCCGGGGCCTACCAAACTAGAGAAGACTGCGCGAAAATGAGGTTCCGTGCTGTCTGGGGGGATATTCTTAAGGAATAGGCTCCGATCGTCATTCGCGGTCGGGATCTTGGGCGCATTCCGTCGCACACGGATTTCATGTGTTGTGGAAGTAGGATAAGATGGTAGAGGAGGCATCCGAATGGTAAGAATGGCGAAAGACTCGCCAGAAGCTTCCTGGGGAGCCATGATCGGATAATTTCTCGATGTGCGCTTCGAGAATTCCTGATCTCAATAGGACGAAGGCGCGCGGCAGTTGTACCAAAAGTGCTGCTTCGCTTCAACGAGGGCAGAAAAAAAAGTTGCCTGGCGATAACCACTTGCCAATCTTATCGATTACCATCAGCACAGTGTCAAATACTTTCCGAAACTGTATCACTTCAACACTTCCCGAGCATACTGAATCCAAACAAATCCTTTTTAATTACTAAAGAGCATATTCTTCATCAAGTCTGGCATACCAGTGCTACTGTAGCTATAAATCCTCTCAACTTCACATTCCTTTAGATTATGCCTGCCGCTCTTGCTGAGCGCCTATGATCCTACGAGCCATAGTAACAGTGAGGCTTGCACTTGAATATCAGGCAATTTCGTCTGCATAAATATCAAGTTCTACTGCTTTATTTCTCATTGAAGTTCAATCAAGACTACTAGTTTCCTGTTCTATCCGCCGCACGGTTTGGCTTGGCGTTACGCTCACTTGGCGCCATCTTCGGATAGCCCTCTGCGTCTAATACCACCCTAGGGATACAATGAATACGCAAGAGGCCGGCTGTATCCCTCTTCGCTCATTATTATATCATACATCATTGCATTTTCAATAAACTCCTCAATTGAGAAACTTGGCATGATTTGACACGTAATGAAGAATTTGAAGTCCCGCCTGACCACTGTGGCCGATACACGAAGCATCCACCCTTGGTATCCGGGCCAATGCTTAGCATTCATTGACTTGACTAGCCGATGATATAAGATATGGTAGTTGTGGGCTTCCTTTGTAGTACAATAACTTCGGCTAAAGGGCCGCCATTTCGATGGGGAGACTCTCGTATACAGCTTTTAGTGGTAGGTAGTCGAGACAATTCCGAGCTGCGCACCACGTCGGCATATCCACTACCCACGCTCTTTCGGCATATAGAAGAAGTATTGCCCAATCGGGCTTATCCTTCATGACACAGGTGTGGTTTAAATTCGACTGACATAGAATGGTTCAGCTCATCAGCTGACGTGGCAGCGACTGAAACCACCCAATTTAAAGCCGAAGATGCGTTTTGGTTCGTTCATCCACTCGCCGAGCTACAAGATTCTCCTCGTCTGACACAGCTCAGCCACGTCTGTGGAAATTGGGATGGTAAGACGGTGCTTCCTTGGATCTGCTGTTCACGGTCACACAGTCAAGCTCACAGCCTAACATTGCCACATCAGGCCGAGGTATTTGGAATCGTGCTCCCCGCTGCCTGGAAACCTGTCACAAACGTTACCGCTGATGTTTGGGACATACTCACGCCGGAATCGTCTCTGTGCTGATAAATTGGGGCTTCGAGGAGATCGGTAGGTCTTCGTCATGGCCTCGGATTGATTTTTGGCCGAAGTCTATTAGTCTGATGGCCATGGCCAACAATGGAAATGTTTTCACTTTTAGATTGACGTGGCTTGTGCCGAAACGAGTAAACCAGTGACAAGTAAGGCATACGTAGGGCCGAGTTTTCATGTCTTTGGCATGTTCATACGGGCCACATAAGCTCATATGCGTTGTTTCGTCTTTGGCCAGAGACGTGTAAGCGATAGGGTGTCTTTTGGTGCTTTGACTAGCCTAGAATTGTCAGCGAGCTCATCTAGCGGTGACAGAGAGGGCAATAAATTTGGAGCTAGGACTTCGTATATTGGTATCACGGATGCCCCATCGTAGATTATCTGCGGCATGGGTTCCATTGTTGGGAGAGACAGCATGAGGTTTCATTTCCACCCAGATGGTACCGGGTATCCACATCGAGGGAGGGGTTTGATATTCGATATGTATCCGGTTACGAGGTACCTACCTATGCAATCAAGCAATCAGGCTAGAGCTAGGCGAGTCAAATTCGGGGCGAAGAGGGCAGTGCAGCTTAGTGCGACTTGAAGTGCATGTGCAGGAGTCTGTGTTGTAGCTGCATCGTCGCAGCACGCCCCAGTTTGAGCCTCATTCCGTGGTGGGAACCGTTGATGAGGTACCTACGATGGTACCTCAGCCGGACTAGACTGCCGCACCTTAGCGGAAGTACCTTCGTTGCTCCTGGTATGTCGCTGCCTCCGTCCTTGCCTGATGCTTAGGTAGGTAGGCTGAGTGATGGTGCTTCTTGGATACTCTCGAAACCACTCACACAAGCTGATCACTCGCGTTTGTGATGATTATGTGTGCGGGGTCAGCTTTCACAAACCACAAGCAGGGGGAACTCTTCGGATTGTACAATTGTGTCAGGAAGAAACACTTGTCACGCGCCTCCCCACTGGTGCTAAAATTACCGTAATGTACGTTGCTGATTGGTGCGTCGGTGCCGTGGTAATATTGGCAAAGCGCCTATGCACCCCATCTGCAGAGCCGCATCTCTAGATAATGGAGACGTCAACTGATTGGGCTCTCTGCTATGTAGCCCTGCGCTACGCATGCACCTCGATTCATTCGTTCTGGCGCCTGTCCGAGGTATTGGTAGAGCCTCATTAAGCAGGTACTTGCCTGCGTAATACCATGCAGCCAGCCTGTCCTGGCTGTCTTTCCAAGTCCGCCTCTCCCCTGCATGTGACCCTGCGATGTTCTTTCCTCGCATCCAGAATTCTTCCTTCCCTTTGCAACATGATTTGTGACACCACACACATCCAATCTAGTCCAAGAAAGCCCACCGGCCACGATATGAGGGCTTTACCGGTTGCGGACATGCACCTATTCAGAGCAACCTTGTTCATGCTTCCGTGTCCTCCCTTCAGCTTCCCTCTAGTCTGCGAAGGGGGAGGGGGTTTCAGGGCTACACCCATCTAGTGGCCGACCGCAGCAGAGCCTCATTCACCGATTTCCCCTCCCTCTTCCCCCTCCTCGGGAACCTCCCCTGTCTCCCAACGGAATGAGGCTCTGTTATCCCCAAGCGTGTTACACCTGTCGTGTACCACCTTCCCTGGGGCAGAAAGCCGAGATGTATTAAACCTCCCCCCAGCCTCGCCCTAGGCAACTTCTTGTTTCTTTGGGTGGTGTTTAACAATGCCCGTGACTATGAAAGGGCGATTCCTATCTCGCCAGCTTCTTCACTATGGGCCTTCTCAAGCTGCCAAACGAGATATTTCTCATGGTGGTCGGTCTTCTTGATCTTGAAGATCAGTTCAACTTCAGCTTGAGCAGCCGCAGCTTTCAGTTCATCCTTCGTGATGAGGGCATATGTAGACTGAATCTGCAGGTCAGGCACCACATGCCGCTGAGAGTCAACCCCGTACTGATATGAAGATAGAAACACGCCTCGTTTTCGCTAGAATACAAGGCTGCGCAGACCACGCATCAATACGCAAAAGCATGGCGACAGATTACAAAGCGGAAAATTGCTATCCAGACGGGCAACCCCTTTCTCGTATCGATTGTTGCTGTAGCGGACCAGTTCATCTATAGAAATGGCGCCTTGTTCTATCTTGCTGGGCGAGATCACCTCCGCGTTCTTTTTCTTCAGGGGTCGGTCACTACGGAACTGGCTCTTGATCCACAGCGACTGCTTCAGAGCATTGAATCGTTGGACCCAACCTGGCATGACTATCGGTTGAGTCCGTTGCATTATTCTTGTGGGGTTGTTTCTCTATTGGCCCAAGATAGGGCAGCAGCAGGGGAAGACTACTTGATTACGTTGGAGATCGATCAAATGCGATCGCGGGCATATCCTCTGGTGGCTACACACAGGCTATTCATTAGAAACGACGAGAGCCATCTTTATTATGGCATACGCTCCTATCCAACGTTCCAAAATCCAGCCTTCTGGACTCTTCGGCAGATCAATATCAGTTCTGGAACAGAGGAGATTGCATTCCTCGATCTCCCAAGTCTAGTGGGAGAGGAGATCGGGTCCAACACCTCCTTTGAGATATTTGACGGCTATTTCTATGGCGCATCAAGTGAACAGCTTTTCTCTGCCGAGCACACAGCCTGGAACTCATTTTACTATGTGTTTCGGTTCCCAGTAGGCAGAATTACCTCTCCAACCGTGCTCCCCAAGTCATTGAGCTGGAGAAGAAATCCCAACGAGGGTTCCACCGATGATCGCTGGACTTCGCTCGGGCTTTTCCAAGATGAGAAAACTGGTGGGATCTTTATTTGCGAGACCAGGAAGGAATGGAGTCCCAATACGCCCTTCAGCCAGCGGAATTGCTACCGCAAAGAAATCGACTTCCCCTTGGAGGACTGCACGGGGGTTGAACAGTTGGAAGACCCTCTTGAAGACGAGCTAGACAGCCCGGCCTATTTCGAAACTCGCCCACCAGGCAGCGTTCATAATGGTGATAGCGGACATCATGCATCAACATGTACCTACATGGACTCTTCTATACGGTCATATAATCCTGCGGCAAGAAGCTTCGTTGATCTTGTTAACGACCCAGCGCCGGACTCAACCAACACACGACGATTAAGACTTCGGATACGGCCAATGGGGAGAACATCCGACCTCCAGCCTCGCTCTGCGACTTTGACTGGCGGAGAGGCCTTCAAGGGCGACTCGGATGTCAAGATTTGGCCTCCGGAATCGCCCCAGGGCGAACCAGAAACTCAGCTCCAGCGGGCATTCAGCTTGATAAATCCACAGCCATCAGGTCGCGTGAAGGATTGGGTTGTAGATGATAGGTTTGTTATCTATCAGATGGAGGAAAGTGGCTCCCGCTATCCATCACCTATAGTCATCATATCGTTTGATCCAGGACTCAGATTCCCAGGATTGCCCAAGGCCCTGCTCTCGCAAGAGAGCCACGGCGATCATCTACAAGCCGTGCCAGATCTGCCACGAGTCATGGAACCTGACAGCGTAAACCTGGCAGAAAAAGTCCAGCCATTATATAGTTTCCTACAGGGAGAAAATCGACCGCTTCTGGGCCTTGACTTGGCCCTATAATAATCAGACTCTAGAATTGATCAAATCTGCATTAGAGAACACCAGTGTCTATTCCTGAATTTTGATTGGAACCACGTGTGTCGTGTTACGCTTAAATGTAAATTTTAACTCTGCTATGAGTATTTTCCTAGATTTTTCGAGACTATAGTAATCGGATAGTCAAGGACTATATCCGGGGTGGGTGAGGTGGTATGCTTAGAGCCCACATCTGCCCTGGCTGAGTCACTCGACTACTTTTTTGGTTCAGGGCGAAACAGTCCGTGAGAGGTAGAATAATATGAATAGTATATTACTTCATAATTATGGTTTCAAACTTTCAAGTACGTGTATGAGAGACCGAAATGGCATCCAGTAGCGGATGCGTCTCTGGCCAGCGCGGGCATTACTCAAAGACCCAACGTCCACTTACTACGATATATTCGTGATTGCAATCAGGTCTCGGTTTCAATGGTTTAGAATTGTGATATCTAGTTGTTCAATACACCAAGAAAGAAAGTTACGCCTTATCACAAGCAACCCCCCTCGCAATGACGGGGACAATACCCCTTACATCTCTCTCCATTTGGGGTCTCGGCGCTGTACGCACGGTGGCTATGGTAATTATCTTTCTCCTCTATCCGACGTTCATGAAACGATGCTAATTAAAGAACTCCCAATCTGAATTTTTTTACTCTCCTCAACCTGCTCTCACATTTAGGAATTATGGATAGAGCGTTTGATTAGTCTCGGGTACTCGCGTGTAGGAAGATCACAGAGGGTAAGAAGAATTCATCAGCTGTTTAGTCGAACATAGTTTCCTGCGAGGATTGGGTTAGTCTGGGTTATCTTCATAAATTGGGGGTTGGGGCGCCTGGAATTTACCTGGGAATTGCCCCTGCTTCCCTTTCAGTTTTCCACTCCACCATTCGTTTTCGTTCTGTGTCCGTTGAATAATCTCGATTACATCGCCAGTCTGGAAGCTCAAGTCGCCATCGGCTTGGGCGGCGTAATCGTAGAGAGCCGTTACCGTTTCTGCGGCAGGCGCTGCCGCAACCAGTCTGCTTGGCTTTGGTTTTGGTGGAGGCGGCTTCGCCTTGGCCGCGGCGATGGTCGACAGGCTGGACCCGCCGGTCGTATACGGGGGAGGCGGGTTTTGCTCGGCATCAGACAGGTTGGGTGAGTGGCCGCCCATCTTCTCCTTCTCTGAGGCCGAGGCCCCGGGACCCTGGGTCAATAAGCCCTGTGGTTTTCCAGCCTCGAGGCGATTCTGATACTTTGGTGGTCGTCGCTGGCCTGTCGTCTTATACCGCACAATGGATAGCTGCTCCGTCCTCTCCTGGACGTCTCCTCGCTTTTCGTGGAAGGCATCCTCGATGTCAAGAGTGAGATTGAAGTAGCCGATGTCGCACCGTTGCATCCGCTCGTGCAGGGTATAGAAGATGTTGAGCTGCATGTAGTAGAATGACTGGAAGAGGGGCTGGATGAATTCTTGTTCGAGGTGGAAGAGCTTCGGTAGCTCGTCCTTGAGCAGATTATTGAAGTAGTCGAAATCCTGGGTCGCCTGCTCGACATCGCCCTCGGCCTTCCACATGGCCTTCTCATCCTTGGCGCTGCGCTCCTTTTTGTCCTGCAGCTTCTTGAGGGTCGCCCGGTGGCGATCGTAGTCGAGCTTCTTGTGTTCTCGCTTCAAGGCGGTCTTGCGGATGACTTTGATCACGTCCATCAGTTCGTTGGCTGGTCGAATAACCCTAGTATCAATCATTTCCAACTCTGGCGCCATCGTCTCTTGGAGCTCCTTGACCACGGCCTCGTACTCCTCGCATGCTTCGATACCCTCTGGGTTGCCCTCGGGCTTGATAGAATCTGGGTCGGACACGCGGCCTGATATGGGTTTGTAGATTTCGGTCATGGCCTGACTGAACTCGATCTGGTGATTGAGCATGCCATTGATGGCTTCGAAATACTTCTTGGACTCATCGTGCAGTTTCTTCGTCTCCTTCTCGAGCTCCTGGAATCGACGCTCGGCATCTATGTAGACGGCATCTTTGGTGTGTTCGCCGATGTTGAACTTGGTTTTGAATTGCTGAGGTGCCTATTTCAGGTAGAGAAAAAAGTAGAAAAAAATCAGCAACTCATTCTGCAAATGCGACAGTATCCCACAGATCCTCTGGCTGGCGTTGTCAAGGCCGCATCACCGGCGGGGTGCTCGGGTGGTGAGGGGCAAGCAGGACTGATGACGATTTACGACAAAAAGATGGACTTACCCGAGTCAGGCTCTTCTGGAATCCTTTGAAACTCATGGCACCCAGGCTTGTAAGCAAAGATCTAGCGAGCTGGTCGGCGGGCTTCGGATTGAGCAAAACAGGTCGAATGCTTGAGGGCCGTTGTTGGTTGGCTGTCGAGTCGACCAAAGTTCACCAGTAGCCCGTCGGGTGGGTGAGGTCAAGGGCACTGCACCGGTATTTTAACAAAAGGCTACTGCGAAGGCTAACGATGTCAGTCAGCCAGCGCCGCAGCATGACGTGGTTCGTGGCTGTGCTGCCGGTTGTGGTACATACGCACCACCGCCTGTGGCTGGCGCTGGCTGATGCGCCCAGAGCTTCCAATGCCAAGGCTCTACGCTGCTGCTTTGTGTCATCGGCCCCAGTCATGCCACTCGCATCGCTACCTGAAGCAACAGAAGTCCAGTGCGAACCTACGACGACGGATCATATATCGGCAGCCGGCACGCGGGTGTGGCTTTTATTTTCGATATCGATATGCTGAGCAGGGTAAACCTCTACAGCATCTAGCTTGAGTCCTTCCTCCCGGAGGCTACCTATCCCCGGCGCAGGCTGGGTTCCGGGCAAGCAAGGATCACACTCTCCGTCTCTTACTTTGGCTGGGTTCCCATGGACCTGTCCCAAAGTAGAGGGATCACTGTGTGGGGGTTTGGTCTCTGGTTCACCAGCGTGAATGGGGACAAAGGGCTTGGTCCACTCGTTGGTAATTACCGTCCTCCAAAAAGCGGAGGACTTCAAACTGACCCCAGCCGCTATTCAACAAAAAAAAAAAAAAAAAAACACACACGTCCTGGCGTAGTTTGTAAAACAGCATCAAGTCAACGCAGTTTGGCCGGGCGAGATTCCTCTGGTCGGTGCCTAGTCGTCATCGATGCCTCCAGTTCGCTTGAGTACTGGCGATAACGAGTCTGTGATACGACTAAGAAACACATCTTGAGCTACGAGGTACTTATTGGTTAGGTATCTCGCGCAATGAAGCTCGGACAGTCGCTGAATTTCCCGCTGCAATTGACGAGGTCCTATAATGACTCTTATGTCCGCCCGCCGTGAGCTGAGTTGAATCCGCTGCAACCTCCGCGGACAACCCCCGGCTTTTTCTATCTCCCTTCCCCTCTTTGAAAGTACTCCGGTATCGAATGTACACGTCCAAGTACTCGGCAGGTATGAAGATCTTTGCTGGTCCCCGTGCTGCTATTGGCTTGTAAGTCGGTTGAGCTGGTCCCTTTCAGTCCAAGCCGGCCTTTTCAGCCAATCATGGCTTGGGGGAGCCGCAGGCTTTATCGCCGATTCGCCGAGCCCCGAATGTGGGTGACAAATTCTCGATCTCAAACCCCCAATTAGTGTGCAAATCTAATCTGCAAGCTACCTAAATTCTGGCCCTCGCCCTCCAAGGGCCTCACTCTCTTGCCACCTGCATCTGTCAACCCATCAAGCAACAGGTTGACACATCGCAATCATGGCCAGTATTGTGTCCTGTGCACTCAAGTCATCGCGACGGGCTGCTGCCGCTCCCCTGCGCAGACTACCTGCCGCCACTTCCGCGGCAGTTGCGTCGAGATGTGCCGCTCGTCGAGGCTATGTGTCCGAATCGAAGCGAGATAATGCTCGTGTCGAGACGGCCATCAAGCTCGATAAGAAGGACTTTGCCGACATCCCTCCACCGTCCATGGAGGTGCCTAGCAATGCCAAAGTCAGTCCCATGGCTGGTATGTCTCTCCTCCTCCCTCGGTCTCTCCAACGTTCTCAAACTGACCGTTACCATCAGAGGTCTTGAAGCAGGCGGCCGTTATGGAAGAGGGCCAGCGGCCCATCTACCTCGACATGCAAGCCACAACCCCCGTCGACCCCCGTGTTCTGGACGTCATGATCCCTTACTATGTCGGCATCTATGGCAACCCACACTCCAGAACTCACGCATATGGTTGGGAGAGTGAAAAGGCGGTCGAGGAGGCACGCGAACACATCGCAAAGCTCATCGGCGCCGACTCGAAGGAAATCATCTTCACAAGCGGAGCGACAGAGAGCAACAATATGAGCATCAAGGGTGTTGCTCGATTCTTTGGACGTTCAGGAAAGAAGAAGCACATCATTACCACACAGACGGAGCACAAGTGTGTGCTCGACAGCTGTCGGCATCTTCAGGATGAGGGTTTTGAGATCACTTATCTCCCTGTTCAGAACAACGGCCTGATCAAAATGGAAGATCTCGAGGCTGCCATCCGCCCTGAGACCGCCATCGTCAGTATCATGGCCGTGAACAATGAGATCGGTGTCATTCAACCCATACACGAGATCGGAAAGCTGTGCCGCAAGAACAAGGTGTTCTTTCACACTGATGCTGCACAAGCTGTCGGGAAAATCCCGCTAGATGTCAACGCCATGAACATCGATTTGATGTCCATCTCTTCGCACAAGATCTACGGGCCCAAGGGGATTGGTGCCTGTTATGTCCGAAGAAGGCCCAGGGTCAGATTAGATCCCATCATCACAGGTGGTGGACAAGAGAGAGGTCTCCGCAGCGGTACTCTTGCACCTCCCCTGGTCGCAGGCTTTGGTGAAGCCTGCCGTATCGCTCGAGAGGAGATGGAGGTAAGACAATCTTTTCTTTCATTCGTTTCCTTATGTTGTATGATGATCTGCTCCTACATGCATGGCTTTCTGAATGCCCGTGACAAGGCCTTCTTTGTTGATCGAAGCGTTTTATCTGATTCTATTCCGCTGCTTTTTTCCCACTTGGCC